GATATATAATATTTTTGTTATAGTATGGGATATCTACAACAGTAAAAGAACTAAAACCCCAGAAGACATTGAGCAATTAAATATAACAAACAATAGGGTAAAAATGACAAACTATTTCCATGTCTTCCACCATTTTATGTACGTAAATCACGCTTTCTTTCTCCCGTTCTCTCTCACAAATGCACGCACAGTACAGACACGCACTCGCGCACACACGCGGAGACGCGAACAGAAACTTGTCATCAGTGCTGCCCTGCGAATTTATCAATAAAATAGTTGCGCAGCTGAAAAGCTACATGACATTTCTCAGTAGCAAAGTTCTTGAAGCAGTTCAAATTGAAGATTCGCTATTAGTAGACGCTGCTGCTGAACACTGCTAAGAGACGCACAGACGCACACGCATTTCTCTCTCTCCCTCTCTCTCTTTCGCTCTCTCTCTCTAATAACTGCGTTAGCCTGCATATCAATAGCTCAAACCTCTGTTATTAGCTCTAAAATGACATTTTGGAATTTGCAACGGAAGGTTTGGGATGAGGTGCGTAAAAAATTTGCTAGTTCAACACACACGAGATTTCAGGACAGAAACATGTAAAATGTCTTGAAACAAATCATCTGAACAATTGGTGTGATTGTGACTCCACAGGCTGTTAAAATTATTAGAGAAATAATGCACTCCCTTAGTGGTTATGTGGCCATGTCGCCACGCCTAATAATGTAATGGTCTTTCTCAGTTCTCAAACAAATTAAGAACTACATTCGATTTTTATTGACTGAAAATAAGCAAGCGCTTATTGTGATAGAAAACACTGTAAAGGTTTCCACTGATTAAGAAATATTTTTGTTTGCTTGGGTGGTTATATTAGGCCTATTATATTAATAGGGAAGGGGGGCCCAAAAATTTGTTTTGCCTATGTCACGAAAAGAGGTAAATCCGGCCCTGATGCTACCTATCAGATTGTGCTACCAAAAATATATTTGCATTGTTTTAAGGGTAAGTTTAGGGTAAGGGTAGGTATGGACGGGTAGGTTTAGGGTAGGGGTAGATATGGACATTAAAAAAAAGCCTCAAACCACATGAATAAAGATGCTGGTAGCACAATCTGATAGGTAGCATTTTCCGCTATCGATTTTTGCTACCTATCTTTTTAATGGGAGGTAGCACAATCTGAGTGGGTAGCACAAATCGTCAGAACACCGGAAGCGGCGCGCCTCACGCGCAGGGTTTATATGCTCCGAGAACGGACAATGCACTAGTGATACAAAACACACAGGTCTGTTAAGAGCAATACTTTTAATATAGACAAATTATTATTAGGCTGGGCTACTGTACGTTTTTTTATGACTGCCGTATTTGCAAGTATTTTCCAAGCAAATTAAGTGCACGTTTTTATCATGTGTAAAATTACTGATTAACATGGCGGATAAAAGCAGCTCGTTTTTTTTACACCAACGGTATACTATAGGCGTACTTCTTACAGAACTTTTACAGATTTTTCAAACTTGATGTGCTGTTGTGGTAGGCCAGTTTCAAATCGCATATTTGGCACACTGCCTTTGTCTTGTCCTCACTCAATTTAAAGTGCTCCCTGCACACAGCTGAGGTCTTCTGCATTTTTGTCTTCTCTTCCAGATTAACTGAATCATGATGTTCATGACGTTCACTCATGGGCGATTCATATTCAAGCGCGAATGAGAACCGTTTCACGGGGGATGCCAGGTGTTCAAAAAAAAAAAAAAAATTTCCAATCTAAAAATTGAAAATCGAATACCAACCCACTGAACGAATATTCGAATAATCGAATATTCTGGTCCAGCCCTAGACAAGCCAGAGTGCTACTGGAGAAAGGTTTTGTGGACAGATGAGACCAAAATATAACTTTTTGTTTTAAATGAGAAGTGTTATGTTTGGAGAAAAGAACACACTGCATTCCAGCAAAGAAACCCATTAATGAAACATGGCGGTAGTAGTATCATGGTTTGGGCCTGTTTTGCTGTATCTGGGCCAGGATGGCTTGCCGTCATTGATGGAACAATGAAATCTGAATTATACCAGCAAATTCTAAAGGAAAATGTCAGTTCATCTGTCTGTGAACTGAGTCTCAAGAGAAAATGGGTCATGCAAGACAACAACCCTAAGCCTACAATTCGTTTTACCAAAGAATGGTTAAAGAAGAACAAAGTTAATGTTTTGGAATGGCCAAGGCAAAGTACAGACCTGAATCCAATTGAAATGTTGTGGACGGACCTGAAGCAAGCAGTTCAAAGAAGGAAATCCACCAATATCACAGAGTTGAAGCGGATTTGTACTGAGGAATGGGATAAGACTCCTACAAGATGTTGTACAGGACTGATCAGCAGTTACAAGAAACATTTAGCTGCAGTTATTTCTGCAAAATAGGGCCACAACAGATACCGAAATCAAAGATTCACATACTTCTGCCACTCACAGATATGTAACAATGGATCATTTTTCTCTATAAATAAATGACAAAGAAAATATTTTTGTATCATTTGTTTGTTTGGGTTCTCTTTGTCTACTTTCAGGACTTGTGAGAAAATCTGATGATGTTTTGGGTCACATTTATGCAGAAATATAGAAAACTGTAAAGAGTATATACAGTATATATGTACACTGTCAAGAGCTGAGTGCTACCCGTACTCTCCGTACTATTTGTCTCTTATCATGCATGCAGAATATGAATAAGATCTTCTCAGGAACATTGTGAATCTAGAGCACTATAAACTAGCAGAATTGGGCCACTGTAGAGAAACACTCTATCCTTTCTCATTTGGAAGGATAGTGGAAGTTCTACTCACTCTTGCCAGGCTGGTCCCTGAAGGCACCTTGTAGGGGACGTACTTCCTGTAGATGTGGCCCACCCTCGAACAAGGTACATCATACATGCCGCCTCCGCACATCCACACCTGAAAAACCACATACGCACACACATTCTGAAACATTTATACTACATCACAGTACATGCAGAGTTGTTTCCATCCTTCATTCTCTCAGACAGTTGAAAAAGCTCAAAAAGCCTCATGCATTACATCCTTGTGAGCTCCTGCACAGGCAGTCTGAGAAGGTCTCAGTGGGAATATGTGGACAGACTAGCTAGAAATATTGCTACACTTCCACATCATACCAGCAACAAGCAACGTCCTCGCTGTGGGCTCCAATTACGGATCGACTGGCATCTGCTGAAGGAAAGAACTACAGTTTTCCAACTGCCTCATGCTTGTGTCTCTACTTTTCCTCTTTAAACCACAAGAAAAGAGAGATAAAGAAAGCAGGGCGCTCAATATGCTTCCCTTCCCATCTCTCTCTTTCTGTTCTACTAAGGCCAAGGCTTTGATGTGCCTGTCTGTATCGAGTATTGGCTCAGGCATGGTGGAGTGTGGACTCGGCCAGGGTCACTGACACACAGAGGGAGGTGAGAAGGCAGGGGGGAGGGGGGCTTCTACTTGGACGAGTTGAGTCTGATGGTTTCTCTCTTCCTCGGTCACCCGCTGGGCTCGAGAGAGCTGTCTGCAGATATCAAACCGCACAGACCTATCTCTCCTGCCAGGCGGCGGGTTAGCGGTCAAGCTAACTTCACAGACCCCATCGTTATAGGGAGAGAATCGTTCAAAACATCAGTGCCACAAAGCGAGCAAGAAAAAGCCCCTGCCGATCCCTCATTTGAGGATAAACGAGGAAGCCATGTAACAAATGAAGTTTTAGGAATAATTTTCACATTTTTTTCACAGCCTCCTTTATCATAAAGCATGAAGAGAGGCAGCGATGGCAGGACTTTAGATATTAAGATGACTTGAATTGCATTTAGAAAGCTGCCTACATCGAACAGATGGATGAAACTTGGACGGAGCGTGGCAGGCAACCAATCAATGGGATGACGCCAGGCCCAATCAGCCCCGGCTTTTATTTCAGTTTGTAGTTGCATGTCGGATCCGAATGGAGACACAGTGTTACAGTATACCAAAGTTTTAAAATTAGTATTTTACGACCATATTTCAAGGTCAAATGTGAACGGTACAACTTTATGACACATAGAAACAGGCAAATACTGTGCATAAAAGGAGATAACAATAAAAAAACCTGTCAAAAAGCCGGTTTAGCCTCTAAACTATTTCTGCAGTTGCCATAGTTACTAGAGAGGCGTAGAGGATGGTGTTCCAATAACAAAGTTCAGTGCCAGCACAAGTGAGAGTCTAATGAAAAAGAGTGGGGTGGCAGGTATGTCAGAACTGATAAATAGAACACTTCCTCACATCCATCGGCGCCAGTTTTGGCCCCGCTAATCAAAACCGAATCACTTCAGAGCCACAGCCAATCACTACATCACACAGTCTAATTAGTTTCAGCATTCTAGTCAGTCTAAACACAAAAACACATACGCACAGACTCACAGCTCCGCTATCTTCACTGCCTTATTTTGACCGACTGGTGCGCTTTTGGCTTTGAGGCTTCGCTTAGTAACACAGTGAAGAAAATAACCTTTGCCGTCCAATCTCATTCGGGCTTTATTGTTGAAAAGAATGAGAAAAGATTGTCTAGACAGACAGACAGAGCGCTTCACATTAAGTGTGAGAAAAGGAATCTGGTATAGTTATAGTTAGCGGTTTGCAATGGATCAGGAGCTATTGGATGTGGTTATGGAGGGTGTGTCTTGAAATCCATTTTAATGGGTCTTCTTGTGCTCTGTTTGATTATTTTGGTCTAAGAGGCCAACAATAGGAAGAAGCCTTCGTAAGGTCTGTGAGAATTGATGTATTATTTGCGAATTGCATAGCGCAATCGACCCAGATACTTGAACTCACCTTGAAAGATATTTCAAACTGCTCACCACCCCAGATCTCAAGGCCTGTGTCATATCCTCCCAGTTCCCAGAACCACTGTCGGTTTACAGCAAACAAGCCTCCGGCCATCACAGGAGACCTGCGGGAAGCAGAAAGACCAACATGCTCAGCCATTTCTTAGAATTCATACTGCATTTTTTAGACAAAGTCTTAATAGAACCTGAAGGACAGTCTGCAGGAAGGACCACAAATTAAGGTCAAATAACCCCTGGAGAAACTCAGGATGGAACAGTCACTTAATATAAATGTATTTAATAAAATTCTTATGATGAATCACTTGTGTTATATTATTTCTCACTTGCAAATGGCTTTGGGTTATATTGAATAAATCAATAAATGTAAATAAGAAAAACATCTATATTGATGAGTAGGTGGATACACTAGGGCTTGCATGACTACTATTATCAGCAAACTGGTACAGGAAAGTAGTCGACTAGTCAGCGGGTCAATGTTTATCATATGTACATGACTCACAATACGTTGTGAAACTTCGAACACAAATCCAACAGTGCACAGACAGAGAGTCTGTGCCAGAATAATGCTGCTTACATTGTCATAAATAGTGTAAAAACTCTCCATATTCCACTTGGTTGTATTTTCTGTCAGCCTCATCTTGGCAACATCTGTTTACTTGTCATCGATTTCCAATTAAAACCATAATTCAGTTGAATTTGAACTGAATTTGAATTGAGGTAGCAAACAGGTTGTGGAATTGCCATTTGAATGTAAAGGAGTAGAATTAAAATAAATAGAATTCAAAGCAACTCATATAACTATTTTTAATCAGCAAAACTTGTCAAACCTTAAAAAAAGTTGTTTAATCCTTGAAGTTTGAAGCTTTATAGACCTTACAGAGATGACTGACAGATAGCTTTGCCACCACAGAAATAAATGACATTTTAATATATATATAAAAAGACAACATTTATATTAATAGATAGATAGATAGATAGATAGACAGACTGTATTAATGTTACAGTATGTCAGTTGTCAGACGGTTTGTGTGTATTGTGACAGGATCCAGTGGGTATCCCTCCTGCACATCACTGTACAGAAGCAGAGAATATTACACATGGAACCATCATAGCATATATCAATAAGCTTATTTTACTTTCATGCATCTCCCCAGGCTTCTGTGTTTTGAAAGCTGAATCATAATCTACATCTGCAAACAGTCCCTGATGGTAGAATCAGACATAAGCTGGAAGCTGAATTCTGCTCACTGACACGATCAGGCTCACAGTCCAGTCAAAATCACTTATGTGAAAGGTGAGATTTAGTGGCCAATTCAAGGCAGATCAAAGTGAGAGAGGATTGCAGTTAAGCAGATGTCAACCAAACATGCAGATGAGTTGCTGTTATCCTCATTGTGCTATTTTCATTAATGCTTACTGTGCTTCCAAAACTTGCATTCAGTCGTTATATCACATGTACTTACGGGCCTTAAGCCTGCCAATGGGGTTTGAGAGGGGATACTGATGGATTTAATGGATCTCTCCAGTTGTTCAGTGGTGTTTGAATCCTGAGACTTGGCTAAAGCAGACATGAAGCGGTACAAAGTGTCTGTTGGTGTAAGTAGTGCAATCTTTTAATAGAGCATGTGGGATGAAATATGGTAATGCAAGGGCTGGAATGACAGCATGTTTTGGGATTATGGTTATGCATATACTGCACTTGCACACTGCACAGACAACAGAGAGCCCTGGGTTGAGAGAGGATTTGTGGATTTATTTATTCAGTATTTTGAGCATGGGGGGTAAAGCTGAGATGATCTATGGGCAGACATTTCATCCGTCATTGGTGGTAGTGGTGCGGGTGACAGGCCTCATTTATTCATCATGGGTGGCCTTTACAAAGTCAGTGAAATTGACAACTGTGTTTACTAAGCGGCGTGACTCTCCAATTGTCCTCTTCGAATTGTTTGTATAAACTAAAAAAGCATAGACAGGCCTAATTTAGATGATGTAGGAATAACGGGTATCATTTGAATCAATGTGCCCCAAGAAATCTAAAAAGACTAGTCTCACGAATTTAGGCAAAACTATTACCAAATATAGACCTACATAGACCACTGTTGAAAAGTTTGGGAGTTTTTGAAGTCTCTTATGCAAGGCTGTATTTATTTGATTAAAAATACAGTAATAAAATTTGATTACAATTTTAGTTAACTCTTTTCTATATTAATATTTAAAAATATGATTTATTTTCATTATGTCAAAGCTGAATTTTCAGCGGCCATTACTCCAGTTTTCAGTGTCACATGATCATTTAGAAATAAATCTAATATTGCTGATGAAGAAACATTAATTATTATGTTGAAAGCTTAATATTTTTGTGGAAACCATGATACAGTCAGGATTATATAATGACTATACAGTAATACAATTTGATTACAATTTTAGTGAACTCTTTTCTATATTAATATATTTAAAAATATTATTTATTTTCATTATGTCAAAGCTAAAATTTCAGCAGCCATTACTCCAGTTTTCAGTGTCACATGATCCTTCAGAAATAAATCTAATATTGCTGCTGAAGAAACATTAATTATTATGTTGAAAGCTTAATATTTTTTGTGGAAACCATGATACATTCAGGATTATATAATCATTATAAAGTTCAAAACAACAGCATTTATTTGAAATAGAAATATTTTTGTATCAAATACAATGTCTTCACTGTTGTGTTGATCAATTTAATGCATCCTTGATGAATAAAATTATTAATTTCTTTAATTACTAACCCAAAACTGTTGAGTTGCTGTGCCAAAATTACTCCCTTAATCCATCAAAGAAATGATTTTACTGGGTCATGTTTCAATATACCAAACCATTGCCAAAAACAGTCAGATTGGCATCTTTACTGTTCACTTCATGAAACCATTTCTATGGAACAATTTCAAATATTAAAATGTTTTTATCTTTTTGCAACTCTGATCATCTGAGTAAAATTCTTTGAAGAATATATTGAATCTGTAGGAAATAAATAAAAGGAAGGATTTGATATGAAGCCTTAATATCATCTTTCATCAAAGACAAAACAATAAAACAACAGATGGATTGACTTACAAATACATACTGATATATCAGGCTGATTTTTTCTCCAATTAAAATGAAATAATTATGTGACCACCAAGTGCAGAGTATCTGGTGGAAACCTCATGGTCAGCATTTAACAAGGATGAAAAGTGAAAAGTGCTGGGTTCTGTGTGATCTAAACTAAGCAGAGCCAAAATATTATGGATGGCTAAAAGCAGGAAGCGGAGAGGAGAATGAACGAGAATGAGCAAGAGAGCAAAGACAAAGAAGCAAGCCATAAACAATAATTGGAGGAATGGGTTTGTGTACAGACGGCCAAAGTAGATGAGCAGCACGGCGCCAAAATCAATTTTCTCTCACGTAATACTCTCTGGCCTGCTTCCGATTTAATAAGGTCCTGAAATATAACAGTCTACTCAATTAAGGCAGCTAATGGAGGAACAAGCACTCCACTGGAGAAATGACCATGTTGCTTTTTTCCCTTCCACCGCCAGTAACAGCAGCTCCAGCAGATTTTGTGGCGTTGTGGAACATGCCATCCTGGAATGGACGTTTGTGTCTTGGCTCTTGCAGACGATGGACTGTGTGGGTGCTTAGCCAGCTCATTGGCTATGGGGTTCGTCGATGGTTTATTTGATCAGCTGGGCACCCAGCTAGCAGACTCAGGCAGAAAGAAATAGAATCACTTAGACATCAGGAGAGGCAAGAATCAGCGATGGGGATGATTGGAGCGACCGATCAACAGGCTCCGGGGGGCTTTGACGACTTGACAAGTTTCTTTGACGGCTCTAGCCACAGCTAGGGCTCTTGATTGTATTTGCTCGCTCTCGTCTCCCAGTGCGTTCATGCATGCACAATGACATGGTCCATTTAGGATGTGTCTGTTTTTCAACATTCGGTCTCTTATTCAGACACAGAGAGGAGGAAGCTGATTACTTCAGGGGCCGCTTGCGTGGTGAGGCTGCCGTGCGAGGTAAACATAAGGATGTAGGAACAGCTGTGGTGGCCATATTGATTGGCTATTTAGGCCTCGGTCTGAGGGGAGAGTGTGGGTCGATGTGGTGGAGTGTCAGTGTGTGTGACGGAAAGGCAGGTGTAGGAAGCAGAGAAACCTCTCATCAGGAGTGTTCTGGACCACTGGAGCATACCACCAGGTCAAATACCTTACTACAGAAGAAGAGAGAGGACGATAAAAGAGAGAGAGAGAGAGAGAGAGAGAGACAGAGAGAGATAGAAATAGGGGGGCCCTCCTGGATGTAGACCCCCTAGCTAAGTATAAATCTAACAAGATGAGCCCTTCCTGTGAGGTGACGTGAAGTGAAAACGAACATGGAGGGGATCTGTGTGATTTTGCCTGGAGCGAGGAGGGATTTTAATACGGAAAGTCAGAATGTTGTGTGTTCTCACTCTGCTACACAGGCACAATGTGTTAACAGACTGTAAGGCAGCAGTGTTTTAAGACTATTAGCAGTGTGGAAGAAAGATGGAAATGACAAGTTTAATCAGAAAAACAAAAAACAAAAAAAAACAAATCAACCTTTACCAAAAATGACACTTCAGAATCACAATCAGAAAGATAAAAACAACAGAATCTTTTTTTTCTGAAAATTCATGACTGAAAGTAATAATGTATTGTAGAATTTAAAAAGAGTAAAAAGATGTGTCAAGAAATTATAAAGTGTTCCTTTAACGACATATACCGATATACATACAGTATAACCGATAAATGGCACTTTTAAAATGAACCAAGTGCCGTGCATTATTATATGGCGCGATCTGAACCTTAAACACGTTTTTTCAAAAATACTGGTATTGTCCACTTTCAAGGAATGGTGAGTTTACGTTTTACTGCAGAAGCCAACAAACGCCCTTGTTGTTTGTGAACAGAAGCTGATAAGTCAATTTTGCGAATCAGCGCGCTGTATTCAGGTCAGATGACAAGGCTGCCAGTCACTTTGAAAAGACGTGCTAGCTGAGAGAAGTTTCGTCAAAGCTGACTAAAAGTGATCGAGGATGGATAATTTCGATGAGCTTGATGAAC